AATTCGCAGCAGGTTCACAGTAGTTGAAGGCGGCCTGAAGATAAGGGTCCTCAACTCGATTCCAAGGTATCGCCTGGCGCAACAGCCATAGAACTACGACTCGATTAAGAATAATATTGTCGAACTTTTCTACTCTAGCAAAGTGACTCGTGATTTCTTGAGTTCCTTTCTTCTTTTTCTCTTCATCAAGGGCCGTCTGAGGAAGTTTAGCTCCAGCAGCGATAGCTTTTGCACGGTTTGGACATCCATTTGAGACCCTTCCAGTTTGACGAGAGCCATCACGATGCACACGAAGATTGGAAAGACTAGACGCTGAGACCCGGACTTCTTTCTTACACCACAAACAGCTATATGTTGACGGAGGTTTATCTGCAGGCTACAAGAACAGAAAAAAGAGGGAAAAAATCATTAGAATGATGTTATTAATTAAGATGTTCAGAATAAATACAACAAGTCTCACTTACATCATCCTTACGGCGAAAAGGTTCAGAAAAAAAAACCTTGATATCATCCTCCTCCAGGTTCTTCCTTTGCCTCTTGAATTTGGCCTTCGCATTTTCTTCATCAGAGTCCTGCGCAAGGTCGATCGTGGTTCCAGGGGTTGCCTCAGAGTTGCCAACTGAGGTGGCGCCAGTGGTTTTCTTGGGTTTTTTGGTTGGTTTTTTGTTGCGTGGCTTCTGAGACTGAACTGGAGTGATTTGAGGGGTAGAATCTGAATCGGTGGGAGCTTCAGTTCGTTTCTTGGTTTGACTGCTGGGATCAATATCTGGTCTTTCTGACAGAAGTGGCTGGGTGATTGATTGACGGGAATCTGGTGATGGTTGAATCATTCCTGATCGCTTCATAGGGGTAGTGACTCTTGAGGATCGACGAGTTTGCACCTCCGTGGCATCGCTTACATTGCCAGACTGGTTTGACATGGAAGATTGGGTTGGTTGGCTTGACATGTTGACGTAGATTTTGCACTCGGGGTAAGTGGGTTGATTGTCTGATTGGAGTTGGCTGTGATGGTGGTTGTTGTGGGGTAAGCGATTTGATTGTTGAATCGGTGTTGGCTGTGACGTGTCAAGTCAGCTTGCGCCACCCTCAAATTTTTTTTCTCACCGGAAAAAATTTTCACCCCGGGGCCTAAACCACATACTCCCCCCCCCCCCGCCCCAACTGGGTGTGTCCCACAAACCAACCAGTGGAGACTCTTCACTTCAAAGAAATCAGAAATGCCTATCAAAAAAAGCTCAAAGAATAATAACAAAATAACAAAATGACAAAATATAAAAATGTAAACATCCAAACATAAAAAATAAATGAATAACAAAAGCACACAAAAAAAAATATTGTGAATCAAGAAGACATAAAATAACAAAATGATACCACGTCTGCAGACTGTACCCCTTTCAAAATCTCAATCCTATTGTTTAACAAGTATTATATCAGCATACACACATCTCTCTCACCATTATTTTTCAATCTTAGTCTGAAATCTATATTATTTTATCAAAATCTAACAACATGATGAAATCAAGAAGGATTCATACCAAATTTGTCCATAAGACATTGGATCAAACACTCAAAATATTAAATATTTGAATTTACTTTGGGGTTTATTGAAGTTCAATTGAAATTGTGCATGCACTGGCATTGCAAAGATGATGGATGTAATCAAGAGGGATTAGTACCAAATTCATCCAGAAGATAATGGGTCCAATACTAATAATTATAAACTGTGATGAACAGAGGTTATTATGAATTATATTATCATCAATTACAACAATAATAAGGAACATGATGTAGGTATTGCTGTGGATCATGTTGTCATTAATTATAACTGAGCACACCTGTAATGCATTATTAGAGTTCTGAGGCTGAACACAGATTATACTAGGATTATGGTGGAGCTTTGAATTTAAGCAATTTCAATCTTTATTATAATTTTCAAGTAGTTCCAACATAGTCACTCATATTTCAATGAATGAGTTACTTCAACCTACAGGCTTCTAGAATAATTCAATGGAGGTGACCAGGGGAACAATTTCTAAAATATTATTACATTCTGTTGAGGATGGATTTTTTTCCAGCCATGCAGCAGTTTATGATTCATTTCAAATGAATATGGGGAGCTCACGCAATTCAACCATCTCTTTGAGGATCATGTTATTTCATTATTAAGGCTCTGAAAATCTGTTAAATGTGGGTCCTGATTGGTTATAATTTATAATTCAAAGAATTTAAGTATCAAGCAAAACTGAAATATTTCAAATTGTGCCAAGTAGTACTAGTAATCAGAATTGCAAAAACAGGTTAGAAAAGTAAAAAAAAAGACAACAAAAGGCTAGCCCAAGCTGCAGTACGAAACAAATAGTAGAAATGATCTCCAAAGTAATTTACATCTTTATTGTAAAAACCTGCTTTATATCTGTCACAAGCATTAGATAATCGTAAATTAATCTGAGCAGACATTCCAAGACGAGTGAAAGCAGTACTTTTAGTAGAAGGCATAGTACAATGTTTGTAGCGGTTTGCTTGCCAAATCATTTTGACAATACCATGTTGATGGTCAAAGTTGATACCAAATTTATGATCAGGAAAGACAAAAGGACCAGAGGATATGTCATATGAGGATGGGTCAAGAGCTAAACTACCATCTGAAGAGAGTGTTGGAATAAACATAACAAAAGCAAATTGAGAAATATCTTCTTTATCGGAATGGGGTGCATTGTAAAAATGATCAGTGGTAAAAACTAAGTGGGGGGAGCAATCAGATTCAGTTTTTTCTTCATGAAATTCAAGAGCAGAAAAAGAAGGAATATTATGTTTTTTCATCAAGTCTTGGTTTTCTTCAAATGGGGTATTGGCCATTTGTTTGAAATGATATCCAAGGATATCTGCAATTTTATGGGATTCGGTGAAATGTTCATCAAACTCTTCCATGTCTTCGGTTTCAAATTTTTTGATATATCTACCAACAATCTGATCACCATCAGATGACTTCCTCCACCCAATCACCCACATTAATCCTCCCCAAGAACGGCTATCGACGGCGACGGGAGAGATGAACTTTTTTGAGCGATGGAGAAAAGTAGTGAAAAGGTTCAGATCGGCCTTATCTTGCTCGGACATATCTTCGAACTTGATGAAATCGATGAAAGCAATAACCGATTCCTTATCCAATGGATCTTGGACAATGTTGCGGCCGGTCTTGAACAGATGGAATGTTTCAACTTGATCGTAGGCGGATTTGATCTCTTCGGGAGTAGGTGGGCGTGTTGGTTTCTTATGGCGATCAACTGGGATGGTTGGATAGAGATCGAGTTCTTCATATTTGACTCGCCTCCAATTGACGAAGTGCGTGGTATCACTTGGGTTGAGAGTTTGTTTGAGAAGCTGCTCTCGAGTTTCCTGTTTTTTTTTGGCCTTGCACCTTTTCTTTGCCGCTTTCCTACTAGCATTATTATGACTATCAAAAATAAATAAGTCCCAAGGGTTTGAATCACCCAAAGATCAAATCATTCCATCATTTAGTAAATAGCCAGTAGGAGCAGTAGGAAACAGGAAGAGTAAGAAGAATCAAAAAAAAAACACTTGATCAGCAACCTGCAGAACTGTAATACATGTTTGAAATCATACCGCTTGTTTTTTCCCATCCTGTTTGTAATCCAGAGTCAACGGTCAAACAAACGTGCGTGGGGGTACCTAGATCAAAGAGGGGGTGAGGGTAGTAAGCATCAGTTGCAGGGTAGCAGAGAAGCAATGGTGAGGGTAGCTTAACAGGTCAGAGAGTTATGGTGTTGGTCAGCTGTGGTTGATTGATTTCGTGAGGGTAGCTTAATCCAAGGTAAACATGCGTGGGGGTAGCTAGATCACAAAGATGGGGAGGGAGGGTAGCAAGTATCAGTGTCAGGGTAGCAGGATAGAGACGATGAGGGTAGCTTGATCGATCAATCGATCGATTTATCAATCGATTGATCGATAAATCGTCGATTGATCGATAAATCGATCAATCGATTGATAAATCAATCGATTGATCGTTTATCAATCAATAGATCGATAAATCAATCGATTGATCGATTTATCGATCAATCGATTGATAATCGATTGATGAGAGGGTAGCAGAAGAGCAAAGAAGGGGAGGGGAGGAGAGAGAGAGAGGAAGGGGAGGGGGATAACTCACCGTGGTCCAAAGCCAACGAAAGAGGGTAGCAGGGGGTGTGCAAAGTTTAAGAGGGTAGCTGGGGGGGAGGAGACAGACAAGGGTGGTTAGCAGGGTAGCAAGATCAAGAGGTGGGTAGCATAGGATCACTTACCTCTTGGATGATCCTGGTTTGGCAGCTGGGATTGTGGATCGATGGAGAAAAAAGGGTAGCAAGTTGAGGGTTAGGATGAGTGAGGTAGGTATTGAGTGTTCTGGGTAAGATTCCGAAAAAAAGGACTCCGAAAAAAAAGGACTCCGAAAAAAAGGACTCCGAAAAAAAAGGACTGCGAAAAAAAAAAAAACCCAACCCACAAAAAAAAATTTCGGAAGGGGGCTCAAATTTGAGTGGCCCCCATTCCCAACTGAGGAAAAAAAAGAGAGGAATCTGGATGTAGGGCACATGACTAGCACTATTTTCAGGGTAGCGCTAGTCATGTGGTCAGGGAGGAGTGTAGTCCTCCCAGACCACATGCCAGCGCAATCCTTTTGTGTCATGGGTTCAATTCCCACTGAGTGCATCAATTTGGGCAAGGGATAAGTTACACTACGCTACATATGTAGTGTAACTTCTACTGTAGCGTAGCGTAACTACATATGTAGTGTAGTGTAACTTAGCTTAATTTACTATGAGTTACGCTACATGTTAGCTGGACCAACAGTTACGCTGTTGGTTAGCGGAAATTTTGTTAGCTTGGAAAAAGTTACACTACTGGTTAGTTTAGCGGCAATTATTTCAAGCTAACACTAAAAAAAAATTGTGGGAAAAAATTCACGCTACGCTGGCAGGTAGCTCAGCGGTGTGTAGCGTGAACTAACACTACAGGATTTCCAGAAAAAAAAACAGCCACTACGCTAACATGTAGTGGCCAAATAGCGTAGTGTAGCGTAGCGGCCCACCGTTGCTGGCCCCAAGTGGGTAACTCTGCCTGAACCGTTGCCGCTATTTCGTCCGTCGAATCCCATTCCCATCGATGAATTGTCTTGAATTCTATTCCATGAGCCTTGAAATATATTGAACCACTCAAAATTGTAGCTACAATTGAAATTCTGGCGATCTTCATTTTTGGTATCAGGCTATGGTCTGGTAATCGAAGGAAATGAATAAAGATGATGTAAGTTTAAAATTCAAGTTCAACCCAACTGAAGCGTGCGCATGAAGTGGGACAAATCTCATGTGGGTGAACAAGATCTAGAGGATCACAATAATATATGAGACATTGGTTGAACAGCTGATTGTTGGCTAACACAGTGAGATGAAAACTCCTCTGTGATTCTGGATACAAAGTACAGATCAGTGTGGTTTTTTTTTGAGGACAATTGGTTCTTAGTCCGCACAACAAATAATATGAGTTGTTGGAATTGGGGCAAGAAAAATGTGACTGTGACCAAAGCATCAAAAAAAACTTACTGAGACTGTGGCCAAAGCACCAAAGACTTACTTTAATTTAACTAATCTGATTGAGAGCAGAGGTACGGTGAGGAACACTGAAGAAAAAGTGTAATAAGAGCTACACTGAACACTGAAGAAAAAGTGCAATAAGAGCTACACTCTGGAATGATCAGAGGGTGGCGTTGTGTTATATTTTTTTAGATAAGGTGAACAATCGTGCACGCAGAAACCGAAGGTTAGTCCGCAGTTCACTTAACACCACGCAAATAGCTAGCTCAAGTCCCGATAGTATTTAAACAAATAGCTATCTCGAGTCCTGATAACAAGCAAACCGGGGTATTCTTGCCTGCACAATTTCTGCTGGCCCATGCCGGTACTAGGTAGGCACATGGAGTACATAGAATTCGCAACATTGTTCTGTGATTGCCTGCCGCAGAGCTTCACATGACCCAACATGATTCAGGATAAGATGGAAAACACGAGGAGCTTGTTGTAACTATATAATCAGGCAGGACATGTGCAAGGTGGTCATCTGAGATGATTCTTGAGTTTCAGAAACAGTCTGTATGTTTCCTTATCCTTTCTTGGATCTTCTTACCCCAGTGTCCTTGAGGTTTCTTTGTCATTAGCCACAGCTGAACCTTCCAGGAGGACTGATGTCAAGTGAAATATCATGAGCATGCACAGTCCAGCTTGAAACCATTGAAAAATTCGGATTATTTGTTTGCTGATCCCGACCTCGTTCCAGCCGAAAAATTTTTGCCCGAGCCAGATTTGATGGCGGTAAGCACCAGCGGTTCCTTAATGGAATCGAGGCAGACTGGAATTGCTCTGTGATTGTGTGCCGCAGAGCTTCAGATGTTGGGTATGCAAGCAAGATGCGAGAGTTGCTCTGAACAAATCAGGTTAACAGATCATGAAACTGATCCTTTTGTGAGACCAGACCCCAATGCTGAGTGTGGCAATCACCCGGGGCCATGAAACTACCACAGCCTGCAAGCGTTTGCCACACCACAAACTCCAACCATAACCGACAATTCCCTCGCCTACCCGCAGGCATGGGAGCAAAGCGCCTCGTACGGACATAACCTTGGAAGCTCCAGTGAGCTAAAGCTTTTTGAATTATATGTATTGGATTGTCTGACTTAATCGTGTTACAGCTTCACTTGCAATAGAAAACAGAAATAATGCAGATAGAACTACATTGGGCCTTTGTTGGTTGCCTTCATGTAGTCAAAATCAACCATAGATTTCCTTATTGTCACATTTCAGGCAGATTAAATAAATAGATATAACAAAATACACCCATTGTTTTGCCAATTCTGTATAATGTATATGCACAAAGATAGAATTTAAGATTTGTCTACAATTATTTTGTAGCTCAGTCATCTCACATCTAAAGGTTTACTGTGCTAATTCTTGAGATACTCAAGGTTGGGGTCTCCTAATCCAGAACTGGCATACCCTGTTTGGTATTGTGTGTTGGTGGTTGGGTTTGATTGTTTTTTCCAAGTACCCTAAGTTCACATCTTGCAGTAAGTATTCTAGAGGGATACACCCATGGTTGGTAATGCAAACTGTAGAGGTAAGGCCATCCCAATTAACCGTCACACCCCAATCGGGGAGATTGATAGACGGCTTTATTCTGAAATGGAAGTCTCTTGACTGGCCCCAAGTGTGCAACTCTGCTTGAACCTTTGCCGCCATCGCGTCCGTTGAATCCCATTCCCATATTTCAATTGTCTTGAACACTATTCCATGAGCCTTGAAATTTATTGAGCCACTCAAAAACACAGCTATGGTCAAAATTCCGATGATCTTCATTTTATGATATCTGAAATTTGGTCTAGTAACCTGAAGTGAAATCATCAAAAGAAAACAAATAAGGGCGATGATAATCGCACTCCCCCCCCCCCCCCGCCCCTCCAAAAAGGGCGTGCAATCGAAACCGCCCCTCCAGGAGGGGCGGGGTTTGATCGCACGCCCCTCTTGGAGGGGCGGGGGGGGGGGGGGAGTGCGCTTCCGAGGGGCGTGCAGAAAGAACCCGCCCCTCTTCGAGAAGCGGGTGGGGTTTGCACGCCAGCCAAGAACCAACATAGGTCGGGTTTCGGCCTGGCGGGTAATGTAAAGCGAAGGGCGGGTGCTTTGACCCGCCCCTCGACCAGCTCGGATCTTTATCGATATCACGTATCGATTAAGGTCTCTCTCCTCCAAAGGAGGAGAGGAGAACCTTGATTCCCGGGCGCTTACCTCATCAAAACATACCCGGATGTTTTGATGAGGTAAGCGGCCTGCTGCTCTGTTCGTTTCCCCCCCCCCCTCTTTCCTCCCCCTCCTTTCTGTCCTCAACCACCAACTCACGCGCCCCAGCCAGCCCTCGGAACAAAACCGAAGGCAAACCAGCCGCCTCCCGACGCAACCGACGCGACCGAAACCGACCAAGGGCTGTTTCCAGGCCCGAAAGCTCCCAAGGGAGCCCACACACGTCCCAGGCGCCAATCCAATCCGACAGATCCGACCGTCTCTGACCCTGGTCAAAAAAAAAAGTAAGTAATATTTTTTGTTTTTTTATTCTTCTTTTGCAGTCACTTGCCCCCAAAATCCGCCAAAAAGGGCCCTTTTTTGGGGGCTATCAAGCCATGAGGGTATGAATCTGACCCTTTTTTTTCAATCCAGAAGACCAACCAACCTCAAATTGCACCGGCTCTCATCGGGAAAAAAAGTAAGTATTTTTTTTTTTTTTTTTTTCTTCTTTTGCAGTCACTTGCCCCCAAAATCCCCCAAAAAGGGCCCTTTTTTGGGGGCTATCAAGCCATGAGGGTATGAATCTGACCCTTTTTTTTCAATCCAGAAGACCAACCAACCTCAAATTGCACCGGCTCTCATCGGAAAAAAAAGTAAGTAATTTTTTTTTTTTTATTCTTCTTTTGCAGTCACTTGCCCCCAAAATCCGCCAAAAAGGGCCCTTTTTTGGGGGCTATCAAACCATGAGGGTATGAATCTGACCCTTTTTTTTCAATCCAGAAGACCAACCAACCTCGAATTGCACCGGCTCTGATCAGAATCCAATCCGGGGCAATAAAAAAGAAGGCTGAAACTAGGCCTTGTGAGTAAATTTTGTTTGGGTCTCCTGCCTGGAAAATATGCCACAAAGGGATTTTTATGGGGGCTATCCAGCCATGTGTGAGGGTATGATGCTGACGCTTTTTTTATCCAAATAAAAAAAGTGCCCTACGTACAACTTGTGAGTAATTTTTAATGGGTGCGCAATCCGGATGAGTCTCTGGCTTATTTTTTTTGGTTTTGCATCCACGCCATAGACCTACAAACTGCTCGAGTGAGGCTCCAATCAATCCAGTGCCATAAAAAGGACCCTTGGTACAACATGTTAGTAGCTTTTTTCTTGAGCGTCCTGCCCCCCAATGCGCCCAAAATATGTGCCATTGGGGCCGCAAACTGGAATATTATGATGGTAATTCACATGTGAATTGATCACAGATTTTCGTTTTGGTTTCCTTGCAGTCCGCCTACACAAACTGCAACCCCCCACACCTACTCGCTCAAGTGTCAAGTGTAAGTATTCTAAATTTTTTAACCCTTGCCATAATCAATTCAATGCTGACTTTTACCTGTGGTTGTGTAGACCATGTCTACCCTGGAACGTAAGTTAAACTCTTGGTAGTTTTCATCAGGGGGTCTTTCCATCTCACCCGTCTGCTTGAAAAATGTCACAGGTTTGGACCTTTACGAAAAAGTCCAGGCATTGGCCGCCCACCCGGCTTTGAAACCAAACGAACAGGGCCACATTCAAGCGCTCCTCAACGATATCAAGGCAGATTACGAGAATTCTGATGACGAGGATAACACGGGTGGTCCAGAGGTCACCTGCAACCCCTGTCGGTGAGGAGCGACCTCAAACAGCTGTGCATTCATTCGATCTTCCAGCTGCCCAATCCCCCGCCGGCCCCACTGGTTCGGAATCTTACCTGGCCCCAGAACCCCAGGCGGCCAAAGACAATCAAACACCAAATCAATCACCCTCGCGTGCCCCAAGGATAGGTGAATTTTTCATCCTCCCAAATCCTATTGGCGCACCTCGAACGACCTGCCCCTGCTTCAGCCAATTCTCGTCGGGCAATACAACCAGTCCAGTACCGGCAGACGTCAATATGGATGCACACATGCAAGATGGGCAACATTCGGAAAATTCACGGAGTACTCTCAATACGTTGGGACAGACAACTTTCCTCACGCGAGCCGGCAATGAATTTCTAGAGTCAATTGAGCAAAATCACGCGGTCCTTAATAAGCGGGTTTTGGTGACACCAGCTTCCAACACTGCATCTACAACTAGCCTGACAACTGCTGTTCCATCAAACTCCTCCACCTCTGCGCCCTGTGGGTTTGCACCGAATACACCCTAAAAAAACAGTCATCCACGAGCCACGTTCACGTCCAACACAATACCGCTTTCCCATGGTACGATTGGAAGGGATGGATGATGATCTGGCGGCCAAAAGAGCACGCTTGGAACGCCGTGGTTCACATGAGGATGCCGATGGGAGTACTGATGATGAGTTTGACCACACGGACAAGCAACCATCTCAAGGACAAGTCAAAGTGGTTCTTGACAATGGTCTGGGGCGCGCTTCTGATTTCCGCCACGGGCCAAACGGACCCCCTCCGCAGGCCAGTCGTCCTTCGGAATTCCTGACGGATTCTATGTTCAGGGACTATGTCATTCCGCGAAGACCTCATGAGGGCACTGGGGCAAACTCAAATGATACGCGCCCTCGCGCAGACCAGAGCCAAAATTCTTCTGGGGGGCCCACTCCTTCGCGGTCTGCAAGATCACCCTGTGAGTTGTTTGTGATGAGTTTTGGTATGATATTAGCTGACTTGAATCTTACTTCCTAGCGGTGGAGCTGTTTGTCCCTGGCCAACACCTACCTGCACTAGAGGTAACCCGATGGAACACCGAGTTATCAACTGGGATCCCGTGGTCAATTGAATCTGCCGAAAAGAGTATTAGAAATATCAGTTTCATACTCAACAACCTCCCCCAATTGATATCGTCACACCCCACATTACCTGAAGAGGCCACTAGATCACTTTGGATTGATTTGGATCACACCCATCAGCTATGTGTTTCAGGTATTAACTTTTTCTGAGCCAATGAAATTACTCTTCTGACTTATGCTGATATGTATGATTTCCTCCACAGAGGGCATTTTGGAGACAGCGGGGGATTTGTCTCTGATCACACCTGACATGGTCAACATGGACCAAGTCACTCAACCGCGTTCGGCACGGGCCGGCTCACACATACTTGCCCCCAATCTGGCGACGTTCTTTGCGCCTCCCAAAATTGCATACCAGCGTCTTTGGGCAGCCTTGGGGCAAGCTTGGGGTATACGACGGTTGGCCAATGTCAAAAACGAGTGGGTTCAGCAAGCAAACGACGATAATAACGGGTTATACACGGCTTATTACCATTTCTGCCAATCGTATGATAACCTTGGCGCATCACTCAACGACCCGGCAGGTGATGGTGCATCACGATCGGCAATGGAGTTGGTCCAGAACTTCTGTGGCGCTATGGCGGGTCTGGCTTTCATCTGCACCAAGAACAACATGAAAGCGAAGCAGGCCAAATTGGATAAACTGCGAACGGTCCACCACGTACAACATGTGCAGATGCTTGCAAACTTGTTGATCTTTGGCCCAACAGCCACTTTCACGTCACTCCACAAAGGCCCACACATGACATTATCGAACGCGAACGCCTTGTTGGAATTAGGCTCCAGTGTGCTCAAACAGAAGATTGCCCTGGGAATCACGACCCCAATGCCTCATTCAACATTGGACAATCTTCGAATACACTTCCTGAATTTCCTGATTAAAATGGGTTTCAACCAGTTGGACAACGATGGTGTCCCTCAGGTTAATTGGAAAGACGTACATGCTTCTTTCTACAATGACTTTTCTCCTTCAGTGATTGCTGGGATTTTTTCTCAAGATATTGAAATAGCACTGGCCCACCGGTTGGTTTGAATGGTTGTGGCTTAGGCTTCTTTTGGCATGTTTTTTTCCTCTGAGTGCTGGCTTGTTTTGGTTATTATTGTCCTCTTCTTTTGTCTGCCTCTTTTGGGCTTTTTTCTGGTCCATGTGATTCTGCTATTAATTTCTGCTCTGAATTTAGGGTGAGACCGTGATACTGCTGTTAATTTCCTCTCTATGTGGTCAGAGGCAAGTTCCGCCGGGGGGAATTTGTGTCATTTGTGGATATGCTTGTTGGCTGGGTCTCTCAATTGTTTCCTGTCATGTATCC